GCCAAAAAGGCCAATGGAATCCTGGGCTGCATAGGGAAGAGTGTGACCAGTAGGTCGAGGGAGGTCATTCTCCCCCTCTACTCGGCACTGGTGAGGCCACAACTGGAATACTGTGTCCGGTTTTGGGCTCCCCAGTTCCAGAGGGACAGGGAACTGCTGGAGCGAGTCCAGCGCAGGGAAACCAAGATGACTGAGGGACTGGAGCATCTCCCGTTTGAGGAGAGGCTGAGAGCGCTGGGACTCTTCAGCCTGGAGAGGAGAAGGCTGAGGGGAGACCTTATTATGGCACACACGTATCTAAAGGGGGGGTGGGAGGAGGATGGAGCCAGACTCTTCTCGGTGGTTCCCAGGGACAGGACGAGGGGCAGTGGGCACAAGTTGGAGCAGAGGAAGTTCCGTTCCAACAGAGGGAAGAACTTCTTTACGGTTGGGGTGACAGAGCGCTGGCACAGGCTGCCCAGGGGGTGGGGGAGTCCCTTCTCCGGAGGTTTTCAAGACCCGCCTGGATGCAGTCCTGAGCGATGTGCTCTGGGCAGTCCTGCTTTAGCAGGGGGGTGGGACTGGGTGAGCTCTGGAGGTCCCTTCCAGCTCTGAAAACTCTGTGATTCTGTGATCAGGGAGCGACTGGGGTCCCCAAAACAGAGCTCGAAGGGGTGTGCAGGACAGTGGGAGCCGTCGGGCATGAGAAGGGGCTCTGAGGCATGGCTCAGAGGGGTTTGGAGGCCGGAGGAAGTTCTGGGACAGCATTTTGGGGGCAGGGAGCCCTTGCGAGCCCGAGGGCAGGGTTCGGGGCGGGGGGTCTGGGTCAGACTTTCAGGGTCCTTCGGCAGCATCTGAGGGTGTTTCAGGGTTGTTTGGAATGTCGGGGCAGGGTTCGGTGAGTGTTTGGGGGACCTGGGCTGGGTTTGGAGGGGGTTTTTGGTCCTGTGGTAGCTTTGTGGCAAGGTTTGGGAGGGTTTGGGGCAGGGTTTAAGTTTCACAGAATCACAGAATCACAGAATTTTCAGAGTGTGAAGGTCTTTGTGCGAGCAGGGATCAGCAGGAGACGAAACACTGGGGTGTTATCAACGCTGATTGGGTCACAGATCTTAAAACACAGCAGCACAGGAGGAAGAAAGTTAACTCCATCCTAACCGGTCCCAGTACGTGGGCTTAGTGAAAGATTTGGGGCAGGGCTGAGGGTTTCAAAGGTTTGTCCTGAGTTATTATTCCATAAAGCAGTTAGACCCAGCAAAGCAAGACGAAGACAAGTTAGGACACAAATAAACCATCAAGCTATAAAAAAAAATATATTTTAGGCATTACTGGTTGGTTGTTCCGGGTCAAAAGACCAAAATAAAATTCATTAAAGGCAGGTGAGACTTCACGCAGACCCTGGGGCCCTGCTGGGAATGGCAATGCCGCATTGACTCAACGCCTGGTCACTGTTCTCCTGTGCTAGTCCATGAATCACGGGTTATTACTCACAAGTCCCGTAAGGACACTTAAATCCTCCCGTGACTCCAGGCTCCTAACCGGGATCAAGCCAGGAACCTTCACGGAAGCGTTTGGGTTCTCCTTGTCACTGGGCTGACTCGTAAAGGGCTGAGGATGGCAGTCTGTAGATCTTCACGTGTAGCTATTCCCCGAAGTTTGAAATGTCTGGGATTAACGCGATTTATAAACACACAGGTACTATTCCTGCAGGGTGCAAAGCCAAGCTAAGATCTCTCCAACTGATTCGTGCAAAGGCCAACTCTGTTAGACCTTTCTGAGTCTTACAGAGCGAACCGTATATAATATACCAGCGGCTGCAGATAAAGGCTATCGAATGCTGCTGAGAGATGGCGTTGGCGGCTCTCAGGTGCCCACCAAGCTGCTCTGTCATGGAGTCATAGACTCATAGAATTGTCTGGGTTGGAAGAGACCCTGGGGATCATCGAGTCCAACCATCCGCCCTCCTCTACAAAGTTCTCCCCTACACCATATCCCCCAACACCGCATCGAAACGGCTCTTCAACACCTCCAGGGATGGGGACTCCACCCCCTCCCCGGGCAGCCTATTCCAGTGCCCGACCGCTCTTTCCGTGAAAAATTCTTTCCTAACGGTCAGTCTAAATCTCCCCTGTTGGAGCTTGAAGCCGTTCCCTCTCGTTCTGTCGTTAATTACCCGTTTTTTGTCATTCATTACCCGATTCTTATAGCTGTTTCCACAACTAATTTTCAGAGGAAGGTATTATGTTGTACCGTGTGAAACTGAACATACCTTTAAATTCTCCACGAGGTTTTTTTTTTCCCCCTGTAACTTACTAGAGAACAACCCCACAAAGCACCAACCTCTCATGTACACCTGGTTTACAGTAAAATGAATCGGAGTCTCAAAGAATATTCTGGTTTTGCCTGCCTAATTCTTTCACGTTTCATGTAGCCCCATTACTTCAAGTATTTTGCCACATCAGGTGATTTTTTCCCCCATGAAATTACGTCTTTTTATATGTGAGCCCACTTAATTTCTAAGATCTGGTAGTCTCCAAACCTTTCCTGAGTATCTGCGTTTCTCTTCTGGCTGCTCTTTGCCACTGGTTAGTTGTGTCGATAGTAGTAGTTGAGTCGTGTGATGACAAGGGGGCACTTGAGAGAGACTCATTTTCTTCGTTATCCTCTAAGACCATGTTTTGTCTTCCTCCTTTTGAATTCACACTGATCTTTCTTATGGCTGTATTTCGTTCCGAGTTCGCCTCTGACTTGAGGTTTGCTGCCCTCTTGTTACTAGTTACCAGCTTTCTCCCTTTGACTGAATGTAATATATTACAGCTTTTAACGCGCTAGGTTATTCAAACAGCATGACATTATTCTTTCATCTGAAATATCAGATTGTTAGAGGGTTCTGTTTAGAGACTCTTCCACAAACCTGACTAAATACACGCAGGTATTTAAAGGACTTCAGTGGCTTCAGGTACATCATCTAGGTATCCCTGACGTTATCAAAAGTACTAGTTGAGCTCTTCAGTCAAGTAGTTCCAGTCTCCTAAATACCTGTGTTTTCTGCCTCTTGGATGCAGAAGGTTCTGTATGTATTGTGTATGTACACAGCTGATGTACTTACCTAGGCACTTCAAAAGCTGTTGGAGTTCCTGAAACGGATGAGGTCTGCCTAAAAAATAGAGCAGAGGAGTGCAGCAGCAAGGGAGATAAGCTGTTCCTGTACAGTGACAGAAATCAAACCGTTATCTTTTATTTTTTTTTTTAATTAAAAGCTGTGTTATCTCCTAAGGGAGCGGAAACTTCTACCTGAGTTTTCCCTGTTCTCGATGACCATGTGATACTTGCAAATGGTGATTACTCTGCCTCCCTGTCGTTAATTACCCGTGAGAAGCGACCAGCACCGACCTCTCTCCCGTGTCCTTTCCAATAGCTGTAGAGAGCGATGAGGTCTCCCCTCAGCCCCCTCCTCCTCCAACTAACCAGTCCCATAACAGTCCTCAGCAGGACAGGGGGAAGAAAATACGATGAAAAGCTCATGGGTCGAGTTAAGGTCAGGGAGATCACTCGGCAATTTCCATCATGGGCAAAACCAGACTTGTCTTGAGGAAACAAGTTGCGTTTACTGCCAACCAAAAGCAGAGTAGGATAATGAGTAATAAGAATAATTTTAAAAACACCTTCTCCCCACCCCTCCCCT